GGGAAGTCTTGGGACGCCACAAAGGTTTCTCGATCACAGCTCACTGAACTTATACTTTCTCTCATCAATTAGTTTACCCAATAAACATATTATTACCAAATCAACCTAGGTGATCAAAAAGTATGAGGGTTAGGGAAGAGGAGATCTACGAGCCTCATCTAACACTTAAACGCCAAAAATTACAAGAACAATAAGCAATGTGCAATATATTGGTTGTCTGATTAAATGTCAGTTTTGGTAAAGGTGACGTTTAGGGCCTGAACCGATCTAATCCCACTGGTGACCAGACCTTAGGGTAGCGTCAGCAGCTCCATTCCTTCTCTGTCTACAGTACTTATTTTGCCGAACTTCATTGTCTTCCTTCTTGGCCTGAAAATAACAAGGTGACACATGAGCAATGAAATGGAACGCGGATGACATAAAGCACTTAAAACTTCCGAGATTTTTGTGTCAAGCAGCGTTTTGATTTTATTACTTGAACGCAATTAGTATCGGCAAACTTGTCCAGCAAATTTGTTTTTATAGTGATCCACTGTTTTAATTAACTATTCAAGTGGCTTGCTCTCCATGGTATCTACTTTGTGATAAGATTTTTAGCTGGCTGTGAGAGTTATGTTATCTTCACTCTTTAATTCCTCTAACCCTAGTTCCGTAAGATTGAGTTAAGAGCCTACGATGAAGGAAGACATCATGCAGTGCGGAATATGAGCTCTTGCAAATGCCAAATTTTCTTAGGATTTAATGTTGGAGCCCTATTAGAAATCAACATCCTTACCTCGATTACAAGGCTTGTCCAGATTGTCCATTTTCCACTAAAATAGGTTTAAAAAATGCAATTGAAATTGCCTTCCACATTTCCTTTTATTAGCGATGTATGATTTCTAACAACAAAGGCTTTTCAAAAGTTTAGAAAGACTCAGATTCCTAAATATGTACTGGAATTTTATTTTGTAGCCTTATAGCTTGGTATTAACACCTTAATAAGAGGGCGTGAATAGCGCAACTTCGGTAAAGGTGCACCTTTTTTTGATAGTCAGTGATTGCTGCATGCTAGGCATGTCACCCATGGAACTTTGCTTCAGCTGAGATTAATTGAAATTGATTTGTTTACCTTTGAGTTGTGAGGTTATATTTTACCTAATTACACAAATTTAGAATTATGCCACCTCGTCTGGTCTTTTAAAAAACCTGGGCCTCTTGGCTTGATAAATATTATACAGTTTGGTTTTATAATTTGTTGAGTAAATTCCCATTTGTTTGATTGTTTGCCAGTGTTAATGTTTGTGTTGGTAAACACAAAGGTCGTGCAATTGCGGTAGCTTCGACTTGAAATAGGTAAATGTTCCGATGCCCAGTCAAGGCGCTTGTCGGGGTTCTTCATCGCGTCCCAAACGCTTTAATTCCGACATGGCTCTCAACGAATCATGGCGGCAATTTTATGACACGGACGGGGATGCTATTGGGCGGTAAATTTGGAGCTTTTCACCTAACGCGTCTACTTTAGTGGCGGTGCCGGAAAAGTTTTTCGAATAAGGCTAAGATGTGCTGGTATTTTGCATGAAAGGAAATCTAGCATGCCTGCTTGCCTCCCCACTGGTGAATTCAGACCAAGCTTTGAGCTTGTTAATGACATACCGGATGGTAAATCACTAGCGATTAAAATTATTCGCCGTTTTCGCTGTGGGCGTGATTCCATCGAAAAAATTCGCAATGAGATTGAATTGATTCGAACCCTTCAATCCTCAAACAAGGATTACAATGTTCCTAGTGCCGTGGCACCTCTACTGTTTTCTGTCCACGAAGACCCAACCCAAGTAGCGATCGTCATGGAGTTGTGAGTCTAGTTCATGTGGTGAAGTTTATCCCTATTTATACTCGGCTTAATTTCTTCCTGCTTTACTCTAGTGCCGAAGGTGGTTCTTTGTTTGATCTCTGTTCTCCAAAAACCTTCAATCGACCTCCCTTGCCGTCCGGTGATGGTGACTTCAGCGATGGAACTACTCCACAATCCCGGATACCGGAATCTTATGTCTCTTCAGTTCTTTCAAGAATTACTAATGCGCTTGCATTTATGCACGAGAAAGCGAACATTGTTCATCTCGACATCAAAGTATGCCTTTTTTGAACGACTTTTACTATTATTCCTTTGTTCGATTTAAGCACTGTCGTTGTTTCATGCTCTTTTTATTTGACAACTTCTCAATTTAGTGACTGTGTTAACCTACCGGTGATATTAGTGAACTCAAAGGGTTGTTGGGCTCATGTTCATGTGATGATTTCCTAGGTCTCGTACTTTATTACATTGGTGTTATTTTCCCTCCTACTAATCTTTCCGATGATCTCGGCACTGATTGGTCCCGCTTGTCTGTTGTATTTCGCTGCGGCAAATGCTGGGCTCATTATTCTTAGCATTTTTCGCTGTTTACCAGTTTTCGTAGCCGCTTTTATGCCCGGAAAATGCACGATTTGCTTTTATAAACCTTGAATTCCACTTTGTGACTCAGCTTTTTCATTTCCTTCTCTATCAATGAAGTGTAGTGCATTAAATATAATGGAGATTTCTCTTTTGTGATACTGGAATATTCGCGTTCCCACTACGGTATGAACTACCATCCTGTGTGCCATTTTTGAAGTCGAATTAAATCTTAAAGCAATTAATAAGCTGATGAGTCACATTTTTATACGAAGTTTTTTGTGAATAAAAGTATGCTATCTGCAGATATCATTTCAACGAAGAATGCAAGCAAAGTATGGTTATGATGCACAATCCCTCACCATTAAGGCATTTGAACGGAATAAATGTCATGTTCCAAAGGCAGCCGTACTTTTGTCAGTGCACCATTGACTTTCCTGGTCGTGGTGATTTTCAGGCCACAGCTTTGACAGTCACTCCTGTAAACATCCACTTAGGGTATGAAATACCCATTTCCGGATAATCACCACATAAAAGCCTGTCTTGGAATCACAGAGAACATCAGCCTCTCTGCGGGAACGGTGAACGTTCCAGAATGCTTGAAGCTTCGGGAACTTATCGTATGAAATGAAGCGGTCTATCTCACTGTGATTCGGCAGTACAGTAAGGCTTTTCGTTTAACGGGTATAGGTGCATATATGTGCCGAGGAGCCATGTGGGGAATAAGCGTATTTTTCACCTTTTGAAACGCATCCTTTTCTTTTATTATCAAAAAAGGTTCTAATTTGAATTTATCCTATCGTATTTATCAAGTTCATTCATGGCAGCGAGGGATTTTGCTGATTCGTACTGTGAAAATTCTTGTACGCATAAACTTTAGAAAGTCAGGTTAATAACTCACTTCCTTTGGACTGAGATTGTCACCACAACATAGGCTCTGGTCCCAGAGCGTTATTTATTGCAAAAGTACAGGGATTAGAGGGGCCTCTTGGCCCAATGTACGCGTTGGCTTTTCTGAATTTCTGTCCACCAAATTGCTATCTTCCCTGTTCTAACTCTCGTGCATAAATGACATTTGCTCCCCTACTTCTATTTACTGCCGGGATTTGCAGTTTTTAAGTTTTTCCTCGCGCCTCAGTGCTCCCTGGTTCATCTAGCCTGGTGCCTCATTAGATCAGCATTCGAGGTGTATAGATGAGTGCCTGCTCACCCGTGTTTGTACACACATTGTTGTTGATGATGATAACAACCGTCTTATGTTATTCTTCCTTTCACCAGATTTTTTGTGAATTATGCTAGCTGATTCTGTTAAATGCTATAATTATCGGCGCCTCGTATTGGTTATCTTCCAGCTCTTGGCATTTTACACGGATCCCAGGGAATTTTACAGCATATAGCATTCCTACGGAGTTTATGGAAGGTCTATAATGGTTTAGACACGTAATTCTTTGAAATATTGTTTTATTCGACCTGTCCCTTGTAGGCAGAAAATATCCTCCTCCGTAAGCCCTACCCATCCACCGACGTCTTCATCACGGACTTCGGACTGGCCTCTGTTTTGAACAAATCGAAGCCGCATAAGGAACTCGCGGGAACACCCGATTATGCGGGTAAGTTTTCAACTAATTTTCGTCTAGTCAACTACCAATTCATACGCTGTACTTTCCCCACACTTCTGCGTGATGATTCTCGCATGGCAAATAATGACGCGTTTTTCTGATTGTAAGAGTATGTTTTACGGGCTCAAACCTTTATTAGTTAAAGCGATTGCAGCATCAACACTAAGACTATGCTTCTGGTTTCGAATCCCACCTTGTAGGGTACTGCTTCCTCTGATTCCTGCGTAATCTTCCTCCTCTCATAGGGGTGCTTTACATCGCAGTTCTTAAAGAATAATTGAAAAGCATTAGAGCCTCTCCTCAGTTAAGCTGGAACCTGTACATAAAATTCTTGAATTTCTACCCCTTTGTTTGTCTTTTCATTCGCAGACCCTACATTCGGTCGCTCTTTCGCTGCTCGAAACTGACAATGAACCGAATTATCCTCTTCCTAAATACATAAACAAAGCCATAGCAATCTTGTAGTCACTTTTAGTGATGGATGTGAAGATGGAAGGAATTTTTGCTTAGGTACTGACTTGTTTCTACCCCAGGGGCTGAGCGTAACCTGTGTGTGTTTGCCAGTCAATGATTCCCCGTTCATGATATTGGTGATCCCCGTGTTTCTGAATCACTTCCTTTGTTTAGGACAAAAAAAGCTTTTGAAATACCCCGATCCTAAATGCATGCACCAAAATTGAACGTAAGACAGTTATATTGTCCATTGACTGATGAAACATAAAGGTTGATCTTTCCAAGAATTTCAGCAAATAAACTAATTGAACATAAAGTTCACAGGTTCAAGTCATTCCCTTTCGATCCCTGTCTCTTGTCATGAGAAACTACAATGGAATGAGGTAGAATGGGTAAGGGGGATAGCAGAGGCGTTAGAATTGGGGGGCCGAACTGATACGTGTTCTTGGTGCAATAGAAAAGGAGTTGCACTATAACTACAGGTAGTGCTTCCCTGGTAGCCCAGTTTTATCCCAAGCCATTCCAACACATCTTTGCGTATTAGCAAGCGATTCTACATTTCTTTCACAAATTCTTTGGTGGGATTGCTACATCAGTCGGCTCTTAACAGGGACTCCCTTATTTGCCCAACTTGAACTTGTACACCAGTGTCCTGCCTATTCTCTTCCTACTGCCTTCACCTTTGGAATGCAGGATATAATGTGGGTTGGTGATTGAATGAAAGGCGGCACTTGCGCTGCAATTGGCCAAAATGGGTTTTTAAAAGTTCGTTTCCAGATCAAGATTGCGTGCGTAGGATTGAAATTCTAAAAGATACTTCGAACCGTATTTTTTTCGAATGTGATCTGTTCCACACTTCTAAAAGAAGACATTTTGGGGGCAAAGCTATTGCCTTTGTAATTTTCCGCTCTTTTTCTCAAATAAATCGTTCGTTTGATGCTAATCCAAACAGACAAATTACTTTTCATTGACTATTTTTGACTTGTTCGAAGCTTCATCGTGTAATGAGTAGCCAGTTTTGCTGCTACCCACCTACTGCCAGCTTTTCCGCATTTTAAACTGTGCTTTATTTAGAAAGTGCGTTTTTTATAAAGTCTTTTCCGAACACTAAAAAGTGGTGTCCTTACTCAAATTTCTGGAACGCTATCAGGGCTATAAAGTTCTTACTTTGGTTTTTGCATTTATTTTCCACTCTAGGTTTTGCCCTAATGCTAACAAGCTCTGACGTTCGCCTGCAATTTTGCCATTAAACTATTGCAACCCTTGTGTGTCCTTTTTATCCGAGGATTTTCCGTGTAAGTATTTGAACTGCTACTAAAATAGGATAATTCGAAGTAGGTATTTTGTATTGATAACTTGCGGGTCTTCACCCCAAGGTCATACCAATTATTAAGGTTTTCAGAGCATATACACACTTTTCCTGAAACAAGATTTATTCCCCTGAGAATAAGTAGGCTTTCATGGTAAGCTGCTAATTGTATTTTCGGAATTGCCATCTCATAATTTCCTTCCTCCGTCCCCTGATTATAATCAAAGCATCTTACAAAAGTAGCTGTTTTTGCCCAATCTCTTTCAGAGATACGGGAACCTTGCAAAATTAGTCTTATTTTGGGCTTCCAATAAAGCTGTTTCTTGGACGGTTCGATCGAACCCCTGGATTACCACCGGATGTATAAAAATACTAGCAATTTTCCTTAGTAGGGTTTTATCAGTCGTTAGATTTTAATCACTCGGTGCCTGGACTGGATTATACCTCCAGATTTCTGGCTTTGGTCCTTTCAAACTGAACTCCTTTTTGCGTATATGTTCACATATACTAGCGACTTCTATCCTATACTTTTACTACCTTTAGAACTATCTCTAACTCTCTTCCGAACCTAGGTATCAAATAGGCACGCGGTCGGCGAGTCTGTCGTTATCTGATGGTCACTGCTAGTGGGGAATGCATAGCTGAGGATATAACGCCTAGCTTTGACTCTGGTAAAAAGGCGTAGAAACGCCCCCACGTTGACTCAAGGCAAGGGTGAATCAGTCAGAGGCCTGACAACCTGCTAAGTTGGCGACATAAGCCTTCATCTTCACCGCATTGACGACACCTTAAAGTTCCCAGTCACGTCTTTTCTTTCAATAATTGCTATCCGAAATTCAATCCTATTTACAATTAACTTCAAGCATCTCTCAACCATATTTTTTCCGCTCAACACGCTCGCTGCTAGGGCTTGTCTAGAAGGAAATTTGACTACCGTGGCCTGGATGTTTTACTACTCTAATATGGTCTCCTCAAATGCCACTTCCATTGCTGCTCGAATTTCAAAAAAGACAGTTGTTCTCAAGCTAGCAACATTCTAAGTCAACTTTATTGTTTTAGATTAAACAATTGGTTTGCAACACGAAAGTTACCGACTACTTGCCACAAAGTTATGAAAAATACGTGTTATAGGTGACACTAATAGCAAATGTGGCGGCCAACTGATGCTACTTGTCCTCCCTTCCCCCTAATGCACTGTTATCTGCCTCTCCTACAATCTCCCTTATAAATTCCTATTTCTTCACATATATATGCATTTCTAGCCCCTCCTTTTACGCACACTTGAAAGTGACGGTTGCATTGCACCGAGAGTGACATCACAAATGTAGTTGTATCGTCATCTTCATCTTCTGGCTGGAATTTGGGCGCCTTTTAATTGTGGGTGATTCACTTGGCTTTGCATACCTTTTCATCCCTTCCCCTGGCCATTGAAGCATGAATTCCAGCCCTTCTTTGTTCACCTCCTATTTAACCATCCCTCTCTCTCCTTTCATTTTGTTCGTTTCAAATGTGGAATTTCCTATTTATGATATGTGCCACGTAGCAATTAATCAAGCAGGATGCATCAAAAGCTGCTTTATACAGCTTATGCTAAGTGATTCGTTGGCTAGGAAGAACCTTGATTAGGTGACAATGGACTATTTTTCAAGACAAGCTTCTGGCTGTCCAGCATTTCTGTCCTGGTGACCGGTATCGGTCGCTTTATGGTAAGCTTCCCGGTCTATTCGTCTTGTAATTCGTGCAATGTCCACCCAGCTCATTTTCTTCTTTGGTAAAATTTTAAGGTAGCAACATATATCGACTGCGCATGAATCGTGTTGAACTTGGCGTTTCTTGCAATCTAGAAGATGCGACTTTGTTCTATCGGTGTGAAGTCTGGTAAAACTTTAAGTCCATCTGTAATTTGAACAGTACCTGTCAGCACTGTACAGGATCAGTTGAGTGTTTACTCGGTGTTTTTTAGTTGAATAATTTGCGTTGTGATATCACACGTCAGTTTGTTTAGGTGATCTCAGTTGACGCTGAATCTGGTATAGGTAATTCCAGCCAGAAACTAGACCACCATTCGCTCGTCATTGGTTTTGTGTGAATATCTGGTTTTGGGTTAAGTGAAAGGTTTTCGAAGACAAGAGCTTTTCAATGACACCGGTTCTCTCGCTCATCTCACACGCTGGAATTCCCCAAACTTGAGAGCTGCATCAGGCCCTCATGTTAATGATCCGCGGGCATTTTGAGCTGGATAGAGGTACCTGCTTTCTCTACGACCGTATTCAGCGTATTATGGGGGCCTTTTCTGTAAAAGTGACTTCAATATTAAAACCCTCCGTTGGCGTGTAGCTCATTAATCTGTCGGTCTTCATTAGCTCAACTCCTAGTTTGTTTGACGTTTTAAGCTGTATTCCCTATTTTTACCGGTCTTGCAATGGTAGTTATTTTCAAAAATTCCTTGTTCTCCACAAATTAATCAAAATTTTCCCTGGAAAAAAATAATAAGTTGATGGCTACAATAAAACTTGGGAAATCGCACATTTACAATCTGTTGTTGTGATTCGCGCGGTACTCACCTAGCTAGCACCTTCCAAAGCGATGACGCGCCAAATCTGACTGTTTACTCGGTCGGAGTTTGACATTTTCCACAACTAAATTATCGTTTGTCAAACCATACCTGGGTATTTAAATCATCCTTCCAACCGTTCCAAAAATGACATTGGTTATCCCTACTTTCACACAATCAAAACAAACGGTTTTATTACGAGACCGAAGGTACGTCGACAGTGGTAAAGTGAAAAGGGAACACCTCGAATGCTAAGCATACATACTCATGGCCTGGTCTTAGGGACAATTTGGTGCAAATTACCCGTCGTTTATCGTTTACCTTCTTTACCTTTCCGGCTTTACTCAGATGCACTTTTGCAAGGTCCTGACTGGACCTGGACTGGTGGCGGTTTTACTGCGCAACCCGTGTTTGACCTCACTGTCGTCGACTTACCTGCATTTGTGTCGCTTTTTCGTGGAGTAAACTTCTCGGTTTCTTTTCTGTTTCTATCCTTAAATCTGTTTCATTGTTTGTTTATTTGCGCTTGCCCACTCATGTACCTTGTTCCTCGCTGAAGGGGTGTTTAAACCGTTTTCCGAAGGAGTGTCTCCACCACTGCTCCCCTTTTCTTCATCCTCTTCCTTCCGGAGATAAATAGTTCTTAGGAGAGCTATACCATAAGGACAAGAGGGGCGATGTCAGGTTTGCAATTCCGATGCCTGTTTTGGAGCCATTAAAAGTAGGTACTTCTAAAGTGCATGTAACCACATTGATATATATGCGGCGACTTTTACAGTTGGTGGTGTTGTTGTTGACGTCGCCAATGCCATTGGGTCAGTTATTTGCCAAGGTAGATTGGGGACATCTCTTTTTCGCATATTTTTTTCAAGTTCAACAGTTTTCCCCTCTACTGCAAAAAAGATTTTGCTCCGTAATCCTTCGCTTCGCCTCTCAAGATTTCTTCGTTTTCAACTATGAAGTTGTAAATTCTATTTCAAATGCACATGATCTCTTGAATAGCAGTATTTCAAAGAATTTTCCACAGGATTCCATGGTGGTTCAGTTTTTTCTCTCACGGAACCGATTCAGAGGGCTTAAACAACTTGAAACTTCAGTTATTTAAAAAAAAATCCATTTTGGTAGGTGTTTGCAATCATGAATCTGAGTCACCTGCCTCAGGGGCGACCTACACTGCGAATAAGGTGGTGGATTTATGGTGAGGAGTTTTTCGTTGATAAAACTGCTTTGAATTGAGGAGGAATAAACAGTAATTCCTGTTTTGAGAGTGTTGGACCGTTTCGTTGCATGAATTAATCGGTCCCGGTCGTCTCCGTTGTCATGGCTCGTCGAGGTTATATTTTCGTACCTCAAATAGGTCCATGAAAAGACATTACCGATCTCTTTGGCCAAATAGCCGATATACTAAGCAAAAAGTCGTCCGTTTAACAGTACCTCGGCCATTTAAAACGAATCAATGAGGAAAAACATTTTGATAACAGGATAAGTTCCACCACATATTGAAAATGAAAATGAGAAGGTCATATAACATTTTAAAAGTTCCAGAAGACACGTACAATTTTGACATCCGAGACGGTGGTCCACCTTAGAACGGCTTTAAAACGGTCAACAGACTGCGTAAAGTCACTACGCTACCTTCAGTTAACGGAGTTTCTTCAGTCCTATGGGCTTCTACTAGGAAGATCGGGGGAAAGTTTATCGCCACAACTCACAAGGACATTGCCTTACTTAAAGTGGTGCTACTTAAAAGCGGACCATATATATATATATGTTATGGATCTCAACTGAAATAATTAGTTTGACACGTCGCACATATGTGACGGGCGGACTCGGCTGAAGTATAGAGGTGGCGCATATACATGCTACTAGTAGCAAATCTGTTAGATGGTATTTTTGGTTTGCGCTATCTTTGAGGCGCCTCCTTTCACCAAAACCCGATTAGTGATGATAGTGTCAATTTCAACGTCGGGTGTACCTCAATTTCAAAGTTCACTTTCCCCCGTCCTAAAATCCGCCTCGCCCCTGACCTGACCCCTCGACCTCGCCCAGAGTTCACACACACGAAGTCGATCGGGTTGCGGCACTGAATTTTCACTTTTAGTGCACTTGCTGGTGACTTGTACTTTCTGTGTGCTAACGAGGTGGCGGTGACGCGTGCCAACCACACAATCACGCTCCCTTCCCTTTTTTCCTGCCCAAGGCGTTTTATTGCGTCACCTTGCTCACCACCGTCAACCTCCAGACACCTTATTTGACCCACCAACTTGTTATCTTTCAGTCTTCTATTAATTCCTTGAGTACTCTTTTCGAATAGCTTTGTCTTTTGCCTTCCATGTCCTGTTTCTTGTTGACTTGTGATATTCGGCTACATCCCAAGACAATTTGAATTTATGTTGCCATGACAAAATTTTAATGCTTATGTTATTGGATCATTGGCTAAGAAATGTCATAAATCTGTAAGGGTCAATCTCGGATATTGCGCCTGGTCCATTCTTGTGTGTTGCGAAAATGGGGTATTATTTAAATTAAGTTTTGACTTGTACTTACCTTTGCTGCAACAGTGTTTTTAGAGCTATTTTTTCCCAAGATGAGCTTAAGAGCACGGGTAGCCTCTAAAAATAATGCTTGTTTTCGGGTAGCAATAAAATGTACAGTAGTTCAGGCAATGGTTTCGATGGAAATTCCATTCCAACAGTCCTTAGTATTCCTTAGAAATAAGCTTTTGGAAGATCTGAACCTAGGCTAAGGCGGTGGGTGATGATGAATTAAAAGGACTTTTGATAGAAGCAGATTGATACGGTTACTGTTCTATCAGTATTGAACCGTTCGGGATAGCTGGATAAATGTGGTTTGTTTCGACAGGTTCAACTCCATGAATTAGACCAATCGAGCTTTTGAAGTAGGGTACAATTGGTGTCAATTTCTGTATGATAAATTTGTGGAGAAAGGGGTCCTTTTTAAACATTTTTCAGCGCCTCAGGACAGTGGCTGGAGGCATTGTTATTCAGTATGTTACTACTCCTAGTCTTCGCTTTATGTAATTGTTACTGATCAACTAACCCGATGTTAAATTGTGAATACTTCTTTTCGAGGCCTCAAAGTGGATAGGGAACATGGCAACTTGGCGAGGTACCAGTTGTGCTTTAATGGTATCTTAATGAGTTATATCCCCTGATTGGTCACTGCTCCGTGTCTTTGTAATGTGGGTTAATTACCCTCCTCCCGCTGCAATGTCATATGCGTGACGATGAGGATCTTAAAACAACCTCTAGCTTCTCCGCCATGAAGCACAAATCAGCAAAACCTCATTGGTTCACTCGTTTGTATTTCTGTCAGTTTTTTCCACCCACCCACTTCTCCGTGACCCATTCATCCAACTGCCCATCCTTGACACATCTATCATCCACTCATCTTTTTACTTATACATGCGTTTGCGGTTAATTTAAAATAGCAATTCCTGACCCTGAATTTCTGGTTTTAACTTCTTCGATCCAGCTTTCTCTCTATCGCAGGTGTGGTTTTGGGCCAGTGCTTTTTGCTTTCGCTAATGTCTTCGCCATGCTCTACCAAACCCAACTAAGCTCTCTGTCTAAGACTGTAAAGCCTTGAGGGCGGCAATAATTTTCTGCTCTAATGCTTGTTTCTGTGGGTGTATTTTTATGCATCAAGCAGTACACTGGCGAATGCTTGCAGCATCTTGATGTGGCATCTGAGAAACTCTCCGTAAACCGCTTATTGATGTCTAGTCGGTTGAATCTCGTGTAGTAAACTGAGCCAATCATCCCTCTCTAATTTGATTGGGATACTTTTGCGAGGGCGTATGTTTGACCAGTAGGCCCTACAATGCACCCCAACTGCATTTTGAAATAGAAAGGGGACTTCTTTGTAGAATTATAACATGTTTCTTGTACATCATTTCACGCTCCCGTATTAACAACCATATTCGATGTTTCGAGTGTTTGTGTCCTCTGCACTGATTCACCTTCAGAATCTATATCTTTCAACAACGTGAACTTGGACTTACGCCAAATCAAGTAGAACGAGGTCCCGATCCGGTTAGGAAATTGGGTAGTCGTTTTATCAACCAGAATAATCAGAGTGAAGACTGGCCTAGGAAGTTCTAATACAATCAATTAATCTGCTTTAACTCTCGGTTATCATCAAATAAAAAACTCCAGATCGTAATTTTACAGCTCTGCAAGGGGCGTTTTGACCGACAGTTTGATTTTGTTTTCCTCTCAGGTCTCCTTCCTAAACAAGCCTTTTTACGTCACGTATTTATTTCGACTAGCGTATCAATGTTAATAGGCATTTTACCATGCTGTTGCGAATTCAATAACAAGGTGGATTTTTATCGAACCCGAAAATTAATCTCGCTCCCTTTTTTCGCAACCTTTAGCTCCGGAAGTTATTAGCTACGACCCGGTATCCTTCGCCACGGATATGTGGTAAGTTTGTGTTGTCCCTATAGGGTTTGTTTATTTGCACGCTTGTTATAAAAAGTGGACCCCTTATGTATTTCATTCGTCGCATCCTGAGTCCATTCGGCAAATTTTACTTTGTCTTGTCACTTCTTAAAGCTCGCTGTGTTCCTAGCTGGTACAGGTGACTTGTCTCTCTCTAGCCCTCTCGATGTATGCGCACGTGCGAGGGTCATTCATGTAGGCACAATAGTGGGCGTTCTGTCTCTATTTTTAGAGGGAAAACGGCTTCTCGGGGTTGTTTGTTGGTATAATCTAGGTTATTTATGCCTTTTGATGGGACTAGCATTTTGATAACCTTATTGATTAAAACAACCACTGTTATATTTCTACCATTGTGGGTGATCTCAGCAGCCTTCCAAACTAAATACGCACTCTACAAGCGTTGAATGTTTCACATTAAACCAGTGAACCACCTAGTCTCCAGTGCCTACTTGTACCCTAAATTTGACATTGAAGGTCTTAAGGAACTGTAGTCGGTTGGGCTACATGGGTGTCTACTGGGGAGGACTCTGGCTCCCCACACCGAGCCAATATACTGAAAAGGTGAATAATTCTTATGGTGGAGCCCCGTTTTCTTTCCTCCAATGTGATTGAGTTACAGGCTTCGTAGACCTCTGTCCCGGGGTGGTAGAGTTGCCGGTCTTTCGGCCAGATGTCTCGTTTTATTCAGTAGGCATAATTTGTGGAATTTGGCATTTTACCTCCATGTTTTGTGTTAATCTCAGCTCCGCATTTCGAACACCATCTCTTGTGGAGCCAAACCCGTATTTATTTCAGCTTAGCATAGTTCGGTCATCGTGAAATTATGGAGGCACAAATTAGGTAGCTAAACTACTTTTAGGCCTCTGGATAAGTAGGTAAATCTGGTAAACTTATTTTGTTCATGTAGAGGATACCACTTCAACAACAAGTACTAACAACAATAATACCAAGAAGCGGATGCGATGTGAACTTTTGCGTTCGCTTTTTTGTGGTTCGCACGTGGCTAGCACTCGTCGAATGGCTAATGTGTTCCCGTACTAATTCAATGCCGGTATACTAGACCTCCATTCTCAAGCATTCTGTTGTGGGTTTCCCGAAAATAATTTACATCTACCAATCTTTGCCCATTCCCCTACCACTAATTCACACATCCAAAGAAACTCAGTGTTTTCGGTTTATTTAAACTCAATTTCACTCGAAAGTCGAGCCTTTCGAGTGTCCTCGACTGAGTCACTCGTCGCAGTGCGGTTGAAGATGCCCACTTGACAGGCAAACGATTCGATTTGAATGTATTTCGTTCTGATATTACACTTCATTGTTAATTATTGTTTAGAACATGCAAAAATTTGGTCGGTCTATTTGTATCTGCTTAATTTCTGCTACCCTTCCATCTTTTCCGAAGTTCTCTTATGGGCAATTCCTTAAATGATTAGGTGGCGTCAGCATTCACATCATAAAATTTGATGTTAAGTTTTATAGAGATTCACAATCTAGAAATGAATTCCATCGACCGTGAATGGGAAGCCGATTTTTCTGGTTCACAACACTGTGTTCTCGCTTAAGTCATCTCCTGCAGTATCGTCGAGGGCCTCTACTTGTCAACTAAAAAGTCGCGGATTTTGGAATATTTGTTTTAATGATAATATTGCGGTTTTTTAAATTTTTCTGATGCCTACTGCCTTTACTCTTGCTCTGAGTAGTGCATATTTACTTTAGAAAAACTATTGTGGACATATACGTGAAATATGCAAACTATGTATACCCATCTGTATTCCTTGAGAGGTCTTTCAGCTAGAACTGAGTCACTGTTTGCAGTGATGGCAGCAATAGTGGCGCTGGATTTTGGGGTTACTTCGCTATTTCCGTGACCCAGTCGCATCACCATGCCATTAAAATAAATTCAAACACGCCTTCAAAGTGTGCTGAGGTGAGAGAGTGATAAAAATTAGGTCAGTAGACGAGTTATTGCACGCAAACACCCGCCTTCTTCCCTCCTCGAACCTCGTTGGTTTTCTTGGCGCCATCCGTCCGTCTTGACAAGTCTTCAGTTTTTAATGGCTTATTCCCTTAACCAATGCCGACTTATTCCTGAAAGTGTTGCGAAGCGGAATGTCTAGAAGAGCTAGGCGGCTAACAGAGCTCCATGATAGGAAAACGGAAGGTCCAAATAATGTCATTTCGCTGCATAGCCCCATTCTCTACCTAAGCAGTTACAATAGTATCCAAGCTACTTGAAACCGATTGAGAGGCAACAGCAACAAGAAGACTTCCCAATTTACTAACGATTTTGCATTTTCCGGATTGTGGTGGTTCTATGTATGTCATGTTCCCTTTGCTAGCTGCGTTACAGGGATTCATTCGCTGTGCATTATTTAGGATCGGGAGGTTTTATGTGCCTTAATCACTTCATAAAAGCTTTTGCCTAAAAGCATTCCATCTAATGTAATGTAAAATGCAAAGGAGTTTCCTCACGCTGGGTCCTTTTTAGCGCCTTTCGACTTCGCTGCTACTTTAACACTACCAAGCTGTCCGTCATTCCCTTGAGACGCGGGGAGACATTAAGTTTTTCGGACCATGGTCCTAATTCACTCTTCTTAACAGCTCTTTTATAGACGACCTCGATCCGTTCAATTATGACCCATTTATTACCTGTCATTACTCAGAATCTGTCAATGAAGGATTTACTGACAGTCGAAATTCAGTGAGGACTAATGCAATTTTGCAAGCTAGTGTGGAGTCTCGGCCGTTTTGCATTTTCCCAAAATTGACCAGCAAAACATATCTGCATATCAAATTGGGGAGGGATTTCCTCTAAGTTTATATACTTTTTAATTCTTCATGGAGGAATCTGAGTGAATGTGACTTTTTCTCATCCACACCGAGTTTCGTATTTTGGTAGTCAAAATGGGGAATTTTTGAAAGCGCCACCAGTTATTGGTCTGCCAGCTGTTGGGTGCTTTTTTTCCACGAAATTAGCAGTCGTTTGTTCTCGCCACACAAAATTCACACGTCTTCTTAATAATAATTAATCGTATAAGTAAAGGACTATGATATCATGGCACTGACTTCCTGAGCTATTGCGTGCACATGAGGAGGAAATAAGGAAAGGTGAGCATTAAGGGGACTACCTGTGAACCTACATGTCTGAACACATTTACTACTAGGCAAATACATCACATCCAAGTTTCACATAGGTGATTTGGCTGTCCTCGAAAAGAGCTTTTATTTACCCCTACTTGTGTGCATCTTGACGAAACTCAAGGTTTTGCAAGGTCACAGCTTGCGTGGATGAGGTGGTAGTCGTCACACTGGCCTGGCCAGATTAATCATTTCCGGGGCTCTGCTTAATGGACATCTACTGAGATCGCATATCACATCGGTGTCTAAAATCTGTAACTATCGTGTTTTTTGCAAAGAATGCCACACCGTCCATTCTTTTTGCTTATTAAAGGAGAACTTGGCATCATAAAGCATATTATAACCTCGTTGGCATGCAGGGGCTTTCAAACGCGTCGGACGCTGATTGTAAGTGATCCAAACACGTCTTGTGTGAAGTCGTTAGCATCATAACCTTTACGAGTTTTCGAAACATCGCAAGTTTTTGGAGCCATTTCCACCGCCGTGGTCTTGATATGAACCTTGTGTGCTCTATCCGTAGCAATATCTTGGCTTTTTGCCAGAAAATTACTCTTAAAGGACTTTGCGATTAAGAGTTAAGAAATTAGATGTGATGGCAGCAGTGAACATGCTAAAGGAACTAGTAGGAAATGGCAGGGTAATTGACAAATTCAGAACCCTTTGACCTGATGACTTTGAATGCATCGCTTTCGGCTTCCAACCTCTGAGAGGAAAGGTAACTCGCAGGTCAAAAACCAAAAGCAGACGTACTGATTCTCGGACGAGAAGTATCCTACATCTATTTTGTTGATACACGATTGGGCGCCGATGGGCAGTTATTATTATAACTGGCAAATTACACGTGACACGGATGAGTGACGGACGGGCTGAGATGAGAAAACGGATGCGTAATATGTGCGACACTGCCGGCGTTTGTAGCCTTTTATCTATTTTGTCAATCCATTCATAAAATGACATTATCAGAGTTAACATTAACTTACAAAAGTTTGAAAAGTGGGTTCCGTACACTGCGCTAGTTCCAACGAAATCCACTTGAGCATACCATGATCTCTAAGTTACATGCGGTTCCAGCAAAATTTTCGCCTGGGGTCATGGTGAGTGGAGAATGAAAGGCGATTCAAACTGTAAGCTATTAATGATGCTGACTACTTAGGAAAATCAAGCATTCCATACGGAATGTTTGCACGGTAATTGGTTTGCTAAGCTCGACCTTTGTTCATCGCATTTGGTTATTCATGTGGCCTCAAGGTGACTAGGATTATGATTGTACTGCGCAAAGACTTTGTAAAGCGACATTCAACTCAGGGAATAGTATGGTCGTCTTCGCGCCTTATTTCCCTTCAAACTTCGAGGTTTCTCCTCACCCGCTTTTGTGTTTGCAGACCTCTTCGTGCTTATTTACGTCGTTTTTTCGTTCTTTTTCAACTCGATGGGCATTTCCAACACTTGCCTACTCTGCGTACACGTCTACGGTGCACCGTTGTTTCAACAGATCGTCAGTGGGACACGAAAGAGTGCGAACATGAGGCATTCGACTTCTGCCGAGCTTTGGCTCCTTCTCTTGACGCGTGCTATGCTCGCAAAGCCTATGAGCCGTCCAAAAATAGCGAAGTGTGGGCAATGTTGGCAATTACTCGCGCCTAATCTCTTCGATCCGCTGTTTTATTATGCACTGGTATTGTGGACGAAAAAGTGTTTGGTGGGAGTACAAATTTATCTTTGCAAATATTTTTATTCTTGGTGGGGGAGTTATCCTTCCACCGTCTCTAAGTGGATTGGAAAGCCTAAAAATGCCATTACTGTGTGACGAGTACGTGATTATATCTGAGGATCTAAGTTTGTCACGCACACGCAACTCGAAGTGCCCTCCATTTTTCTGTGGGAAAAGTGTGAAAGCAATGCCACACGTTCGAAGGGAAACGTACCCTGCACTAATCGGATTGGGAATTTCGGTATGATGTTGAGAGGGCAAAGTTGCATCCCAAAGAAGGAGTTATGCAATGCGCCTTTGTGTGAAGTAAAGCGCGGAAATCTCCTTTTTTTCGAACGCCCCTGGTACATGTGGCCTCTCCAGATGCTGCTGAGATGCTGCGGTATGCTACCATGTACTAGGCTATCTAAAGGCCCAACTTTCGCTGTGTTGAAGTGTTCTATTATTTGGAAAAGCGAAATATTTACGCTCTAGGAATATTAAGTCCTTATTACACTAATCAGTCCGTGCAATCCTTCACTTGAACACGTTCGCTATCAACGTCACACGTTTTTCATTTTGGCTTTTTCTATTTGGGTCCATACGTCATGCATATGTTGTGTTTGATTAAAAAGCGGTAACTTAGACTGCAAATGTGAAAGAACGTAGAAACGATTGGTGTCATAGCACTCGAATGAAATGTCGTGCTTGAGACAGTTAATTTATTTCGTAGACCCTGTTGATCGCCTTATAAACACTGTTTGGCTTTCTACGTGATATTCTGCTTTCTAATTTCACTGTGAATTCTGAAGGTGCTAGCGAAACTGCCTGGCTCATGAATAACTACCATATGTGTGCATGTACACACAAAAATCTTGTGCAGGCTTTTTTGCTCTGAAATGTTTTATGGATGAATTAATCACCCTGGAATTTGTTGCCCTTACGTCTCCACTTAGCCCAAAAGTCAACTTTTTTCCCGTCCACATTGTGGATCTAGCACAGTGGGAAAGTCCATCAGATACCTTAATGCCAAAAGGTCATGTGTTGGTAAAAAGCGACATTTTAATTTGTTTTTGAACCCTCTTTGACCTACTTGATTAAGTTTACTAATCGTTTTGTGAATTCAATTCATTTAAAAGCGATTGACAGGTCATCCCGAGTGAACCCTTAGAGGGCGTTCAGTCGTGTTCTCCGTTCTCCAGCATTCTTATCGCGCAATGTGCAGCCATCATTTTTTTGACCTACTACTTGCTTTTTTCCCATAGCACTGCCCTAAAATGTTTATTTTGCGCCAGAGGTGCACCTGACATTATAAATTTCTCCACATATTTCGCTGTCCACATTGCTCCGCATATGGCATGACATTTGTTTGCGAAAACTTGCTAAATGTTATGCCCAGGCCTTAGTAAAGAATGCTTTTTCCCAATGCTAGACAACAATTATCAGAATTTTTTAGATGTGTTGCAACTGCATTTGACTATCAGCTTGATTACTTTTTACAAATTTAGAAAAAATGTTTCTACAATAACTGTGAGGAGTTTTTTTCAATAAGGAGACGGTTTTGGATTTTTCGGAACGAAATTGTAGTGCGACACAGCAAAGTCGCATGAGTAATGAGCTACCTCGATTCTTGGAAGCTTGTCCGTTTGCAATTTCAGGTCAAATGATCGTTGGTTCTCTTCATTTGTATATGAAACATTTCTTTTAGTTGGAAAAGAATGGCGCTGGAGTTTGTAGGACAATCGTTATGAAAACAGTAATGCTTCAACCTATCAAAACGTAATTATTTTAAAACTGGACTAGTCGACTAAAGTGCGTGTGCCGGTTTTTGACAACTGTGGACAACTTTGCCTATTTGACGATGAAGTAGTCGCCTCTTTTGACTAACAATAGAATTGGCATCTTTTAAATGATTGGCCTTACTTACGGTACCTGAATGCTTCTAAGGAATTATGCAGTTATAGAAGATCTTTATATTGAAGAGGCAGAAGCAATGTTGACAATGTCACTGTTCTGTCAAGGTGGATTCACCAAAGGAGGACTGTTGTCAAGCGAAAGAAGTGAAAATCCCAGGACTATTTGGCAAAGGTATTCGGGAACTGAACTACTCCACCGAAAGGGGAGTTCAAATTTTACAATAGTTACCTTCAGTAGGGTAGTGAATGAGAACATCAGGATAGGCTGTGATCAGAGCGGCGTGGAAATGCTTGCAAATGGTTTTTTTGGAAGGAATTCACATCATGAAACGGGCAGTATTCATGACAAAATTAGATCTCGTATCAGACAGTAGCAAAAACGCTGCCAAGGTTTTTTTTTCGAAAACAAATTAGGCATATTTGCTCTTCTAATTATTCTGGATACTCTCAATATTTTTGGACGAGTCATACATAGAAAAATTCCTGTTGTTTTATATGTATACAGCGAGTATTGCTTAAGGGATGAGCGGTGATATTTTAGTTATTGATGACAACAAAATTTCGGCGATATTGAAGCTAAAGAGTGATTTAGTTTTGGAAATCAGATGCAGCCGTCACATTCCAACCTTATCAAAGGCAATTAATTTCGAAGTAGGGACGAAAATATCGGCAATGTTGTCAAGGCAGGGTTCTAGTCGCTTTTGCGAACGAATGGACAAAGATTTGCGTGACGGTTGGCGGCGTCATATCTGTGGCACTGATACGGAATTTAATAAGGTAAAGTTGATGATAGGAAAGTAAAGGTGTTTTAGTTGTGTTTTTGTCGCCAAGGTTTTGTTAATAAGGATTGAAAGGAATTTTATGAACTCTCTCTTCAGTAGTAGTAAATGGGTAAGCAAACTATTTCCCAAAGCTGGTAAATTGCAGTGTCTTCTTATTTAACAGGAGCGTGGGAGTCTTGGCCTACTTCCTTCTGACCGGCGTGTCACCCTTCCTGGCGGAGAGCAAGGCGCTGACGCTGAGCAACATTACCCAAATGAAGATCGACTACCCTTCGCATCTGTTTGAAGTCGTCTCGCCGCTAGCTCTCGACTTTATCCGCTCTCTTATCAAACGTAATCCCAAGTAAGGCTCCTCTTTACCTCCATGCTCATCCTTTTTCTCCCGCCTCTTCCGGAGGACTGAATGACTAATTATCACTGTTCCAGGGCACGTCTCTCGGCCTCTCAGTGTTGCCAACACGAGTGGCTTCTGCAACAAACTCAACAAAAGCAGGCTAAGGTTGAAGTTCTGGCTGAAGACGTTGGTGCTGGGGGAAGCGGCGATGAGTCCACCTCTTCTACCTCCTCATCATCTTCAACGGCTTCTCCAACGCGGAAACGTCTCGCGTTGGACGACACTGTTGTAGGTAGTCAGGAGAACGTGGAGACCGGAAGGTCGCCGGAGGCGCTGACTGCATTAGCGGTGGTTGGCGGGTGCCGTAAAGCGCTGACGTCACGAACGCTCTTTAATCTGGAGGGTCTTCCACGTCATCACTCGCCCGGCAGTGGTAGCAACTCCTATCGACACCATCATTATCACCACCAGCCGCGACGACGCTCCGTCCTTGCCTCCATCTCGCCACCAACCACTGTAACAGAGGTCTCTCCCATCGACTGACCCGCCAAGACAGACGCGTCTGTATTTACTCGCCCCTTTTTTGCGTCCATGTGTGTTTAGCATTTTCTTTTTTGGGTCCTGATTTTCATTTGCTTCGACTGTGTACAGAAGAGTTATCCACTGACGAGGTGGATGCCCTATTGTTATGAACAAATTTAATGCAAATGCACCCATGGATATTTATCCCTCTTGAGGCAAAAAAAACATCTAAATATATGCATATTATATATGTATTACTTTGAAGAAACCCTTTGTCACTCATTCATCAAGCCTTCGCCATCCCTTTATCACCATCTGTGTCCATATTTGCGTGTAACTTCCCCTGCATTTCTTGTACTCCGACAAACTTCAAGTGAATGATTTAAAGTCACAACGATTGGTTTGCTTCTCTCTTGTTTTTTTTTTTTTTTTTTTTAATTTAATAGAGAAGACGAACGCCATCTATTGGCGATCAGAACTTGGAGGAGTTCGGTTTCTCTCATTCTCAAAGTCTATTCGTTTAGGCCCTGCAATCGAATGTGGTTAATGTTTTGAGACATCATTATTTAAGATAGGTTTTGTGTAGCTGAGTTGTTTTCGCTTGCCACTATGATAAAGTATCTGCTATGGTTTATATAAGTTGTTCTTTATTTTATCCTGGGCGCGGCTCCCAGTCTCCGGCGTGATATAACCGAATCAAGAGAGGACGCAAGAAGGGTTCATGTAGAAAACACCAGTAAGTGCTGTACCATCGCATAGCGTTCGAGCGTCGTTTGTCATCACTTTCACTCCAATGAAATGTTCATCCACGAGAGATCATGCGAAGCGCATAGTACGATGTTGGTGGTGAATGAGTTGGTAGACCTCAGTAAGAGGGCATGCTCAAAGGAGTGAGCCGTCACGTTGTAAAGGTCCGGCAGAACTGCGTGCTGCCTCGTCCAGGACATAACGTGCGTTGTCGAGCGTCACAGGAAATTTTTAAGGTTTGTACATTTTTGAAAAAGAGGATACTTCACTAGTTTTTACTTGGTCACTAAAATTAAAGTTGTTAAATATCGCAGTTTTTGTGGATGTGATTAGCTGTGATCTAGGAGGAATCGTAGGCTTAAGCACTAATTCCAAGTAGTGATAAAATGTGAAAAGGCAAAGTTTTTTTGCTTCAGCCACTGCCTGACGGCAAATTTAGTTGATTAAGATGGTTATCCGGATTCCCTATCATAAGAAGCCACCCACATCACTGCCTACTTAGTTTCCGTAAGTAGCATAGCGCAGCTATCACAAGGGCCGTGGTATTGTGGTTCAAAAACCAAAAAGCTTAGTTATTTGCTCAGGTGAATATGCCCGCACACTTTTCTTTATTGTTGTAAAGCCACATGGAACATTGTAACACTCCAACTCACCATTGATTTGATTAGAGCTAGTCTCATTCAAACAAAGGTTTGAAGCACTCAAAACTTACCTCGTCTGATTTATTGCTACATTATGTACCACAACGAGTGGATTATAACCAATGGTGTTTTTTTCACTGCATCAAATTTAATATAAGTACATTTAAGCAAATTTTGGCGGATATATTGATGTTAATGTCGGGAATTTGACAAATGAGTAGATGATGATTTGCAAAAGTGACGAAACGGGTACGTATATTAAGTTGCATGACCTCAAGTACACTTTAAGTCAGTGAAACAAAATCACAAAAAAGTCCATTTGATCAAAAGGTGGACAAAAAAACATAAATGAATGTAGACTTCGCCCCTCACCTAAAATGATCACTTAATTGTCCGTCTTTTTTGTCAATTAAAAACCAAGTTATGAACACGTAAATACTCTAATTAACTTGAGAAGAAATGTTTGAGCAAACTAGATTGCAGTTTACATTCACAAGCGGACCAGAAATGACCTCAAGCTGAATTAATTTGTTTTAAAATCGGGAGAGGAATGATTAATTAAGATGCAAACAGCAGGTAGGTAAACTGATTAGACGAATGTTTATGAGGGACGGTAAAAATTTCAGCAGCCTATTCAAAGTTCACACCTTTGCTTTTATTCTTGCCTTAACGAAGAACTTTTCGTATCACTCCGAGTCTCTTCCTTAAGAAAATGATGAAACCAAGGGGCTTTCCAGAAATATTCATGCTAATGCACAAAAGGGGTGGGAAGTTGTGGGCGAGGGAACGGAGATTGACGTACCATCGTAGATTGGCAGGACATTCGAACAAGGACAGATTGCTAGACAAGATCCGTCTCTTCTACCAACATGTAGGTGTCAAGTAACCAGGATTCCGTTGAATGGCAAAAGGTACACATTCGAGAACATTGATGTGCCAAGATGGGTGGAGTGGAACGTACCGAGGGGACAATTTAAACCCGTTTACCATGGTTATGCACTTTGGAGACAAATCCTTTTTCCACTTGTGAGTCTATTAAAAGATGACGGAATACTGGATGCACAAGAATTTCAATAACCGTAACGCTTCATAGCCTCTAGTTCTGTAAAGTCTTGACAACGTCACAAAACAAATTCAAATGGGAAAATTAGCAAGGAAAAGTTATGCAGGGATTTGGAGCAAAAAATTGTCAAGCAGAAGCTCTCTCTCAAATTTTAGGCTTCCGTGCCTCTTTTCTAAACTACAGAAAAAAAATCGCTCGTTCTCTATATTAAGAAGGAAATATAAAGATCAAATAGTTCCACCCGAGTCAAGCTGACAAAATACGCACACTTTCGTCAATTCAATAAAACTCACTCTGCCGTGCCGTCATTCATAACTCCAAAAAGTGTCATTGGATGTAATGAATCTGAAATTCGTTAACAATCGCCGTGGAGTAGAAAGAAGGCATAATACTCGGACAGAATGATGCATTGCCGGCCTACTGAGGTGATTGGGGCTACTGGTGTCGCTCAGATATCAGGCCACCCAGTGGAGGCACAATAACGGAGCCCCTAAGAGATCCGTTACCACAATCGACAGTAAAACAAATAATCAGCGTCTCACGTAACCCCCAGCCCTTAGAGCGTCATCCACGGCACCCCTTCCTCAGCCCCGCGAGTCAACAATCACAATGTAGTTGGTAGCATACGAAAACATCAACGGACCAGCCGTGCCAGCCATTCAATTTTCATGCATCTGGGATGATACAACGACACTAAACTTTCGGCAGTTCCAGACCTGAAGTTTCGCCCTGTATGGAAACTGGTTTAGGGGACGAGAGAACGCGTGTCCATCGCTGGTCGTAGGAACGCTGGTCCAGAAGCTGAGCCATACTACAAAGGACGGAGCATAACAGTTTGGTGGGGGTAGGGTTGCCCGTCTATTCCGCTTTGCCACTGTGTTCTCGCTTCAATGCTGCCCAGGCATATCCATTTGGATTACAAGCAGATCATGTGTTTCGCATAGTTAACAAGTCTATACATGTACAATAGCTCTGTAACAAACTTTGGCAAATGGCTCACGGTTACTGTCGCCTCCAGTGTTGACTTTTCCAGTAGAAGCTGACGGTAGACGTGCTTTCCACACCCGATAGGAGTTGTTGTAGGTTCTCCCATCTGCAGCATATAAACTCCTCCCACCCAGTTAAGGTTTATCACACATCACT